CACATATTTCTGAATGCTTGGAAGTCATAAAAATCTGAAACATCTATTCTGTACATTTTTATAAAAATAAAAAAAAATATTTTTTTATTCTTGAGCTTGTTGTTGCATTTGTTCCATTTGTTACATTTGTTGTTCTTGAGCTATTTGTTGTTGAAGTTGTTCTTGTAGTACAATACTTTCACCAGTTGCATCTTCCAATTCGAAACTTTCTGCCGTCATTGACAAATACATAGGACATAAAAGTTTTACAGGAACAAAGTTTGCGTCAACTAAGGTTAAGTTTATGTTTGCTAAAGTGTTTGAGTTTACTAAAGCTGAAAACTCTGCATTCGAATGAACAATAGGCAAACCAGCAGAGAAAGTGTTGTTTATACGCATGAGTATCTTTTGGTCATAGTAGTTTCTGTCGACATTCGAATAGCACTTTGAACCTAAGTTTGAAACAATATATAAAATAGGTTACTTAAAGTCAATGGAACGGATAGACCTTGTATGACACCTTTTCCTGTTATAGGAAACTGTTGGTAGTAAAAACCAGATATAAGTTTTGTATTATAGCTCATATCGTTTATACTAAACTCAGTCGGACATCCAAACATAATGAAACCTGCTCTAGTTGCAGCACATGTTACATCCGTCCTTAAAGTATTAAATAAGTCAACAAAACCTGTTGGTGGTATATCTGAGTAAGTATCTTCAAAGAAGTATTTTTTACCATTCACAACAACAAAGTCTTCTGGTGTCAAAAGAGCAAAACAGGCTTTAGTCGTCATCGTGTTTAAGGTCAGTTTACAATATCGTCCTTGAGGACTTTGTAAGTTTGTTGTTATAGAATTATATGACTCAGGGTTTTTAGTCGTAATAGTATAAACCACTATGTCTTCTGCCATTTACATATATTTAAAAGTTTTTCTGAAAGTGGAGAAGAACTTCATCTAAACTTTCACATGGTGTTTCTTGAAGTTCTCTGTCTAAGAAGTTCAAATATTTTGTAAAGACATAGAACTTTCCTTTGTCTACACGAACAAACAAAACAGGGTCTTTCAGTTCAAAAGTGTGTAAAGTCCTTTACATGAAATAAAGTCTATATTGTTTTTCTTCAAACATCTTTCAAGAAGTTTTGACATTTACTTAGCAACTAAATTTTAATGAAATGTTGTGGTCGTCAAATATTTTATGACGTCTGGGAAACTATATTTTAAGTTCAACGTTTCACCTCCTTTCATAACGTATATCTTGTCAATGACATTATATGAAACACCACAGCAAGCAATGTCGGGTTCTATTTCTTTGATGTTTATATCATCTGCCTCTGTCAAAAGTTTCAATAGTTCTTTCAAAATTTCATGAGGTGCGATGACATATGAGTTCACTTTTACAGGGTTGTGTTCGACCAAGTTTAACATTAGACCTAAAGCTTGACAAATCTTCTCCTGAGTTTTAAGTTTGTCTTTAAGTTGTTGGTAGTCATTTCGAATATCTGCAACAGAACTTAAGTCTCTGCTAACTTCAGGATATGTTGGTTGTTCTTTTACAGGAACTATTGTTATACCATCTTCGTCTTCGTATGGTTTCCCCACTTCAACATCTCTTTCTTTGACATTGACAACAACACTTTGACTGTTTGTTTGAGTTGGTGAATTTAACTTCACATCTGCCATCGCCATTAAACCTTTTGAAACACTTACGCTTCTATTTTTCGGAAATGACATTTTACTTAGAATAAAAAGATGGACGTATTTGAGTATCTCTTCGAATTGAAGCAAAACAAAGTTTACACACACAAACAATACAAGTTCATTGACAGAGTAGTTCTTTACACAAACAATGGAAAATGTTATAGAATAGCAGTCTTTGCTGAACCAAAATATTTTCATAAAGCAAAGAAAGTTGGTATAACTGAGATGGTGAAAGTTCTTGACGTTGACAAAAATATAACAACAAAACTGACCGATATTTCTAAAGGAAAGTTTATAATACAATATTATATCAAAACTGGCGTACTGTCAATATTTGACGGAGAGAAGTCAGTTCAAGAACAACTTACTGACCTGCTGCCAAAATCTGCTCGATGGAAGCTGTCGTTATACCAATCTGAGGAGCCCCAGCAGGTTTCATCGAACGAATTTTCAAAAGAGCATCTTCCGTGAAAAGTGCTATTGGTTTTGTAAACTTCTTTGCTTTCAATTCATCTGGACCGTCTCTGTCACCAAGTATATTGTATTTGAACTGTACCAACAGTTGAAATACCACCCATAAAGTCTTCTGAGTCAGCAAATGGAATGCCAAGCCAAAAGTTTGAACGGTCTCCATTTGTATATTGAGTTTTTTGACTCCTGCATGAGTCCATACTTTCACATATGGCATAATAGAACTTTGCATTTCAGGGTTAATGGTTGTTGTGAAGTTGTTGTTAAAGTTCATAGCATCTAATGTCAAGTTGTATGACCTCATATCCTCAACTGTAGAATATTCTTCTCTTGGATAGTATTTGCCATCTATGTTTAATGGTATTTAATACCAGGGTTGTAGAAGCAAGAATAGTCATTTATAGTTCGTCTGAACAGTACAAACATAGTATCTGCATGTTTCATTGCAGTTGTTAAGGCAATATCTGTTTCTTGCACCTGGGTCAGCACTTTGGTTTCCAACTTCACCTGCAAAGTCTTTGACAGATATTTGTGTATAGGGAACATAAGTGGAACTGCAATATATTTGGCAGCTAAAGCATTTGAAATATCTGGGTCCAACATATAGACTGCAAGTCTGCTTTCTATTCTCTTGCATTCAAATTTTTCGCATGTGAACTTAACTGGGTCCCAAGCAGTTCCAGCAGCATTGAAATAATAGTTTACTTCAGTGTTGAGGTTAGAAACCAAAGTCTAAGTCAACTTTGTCTTTGCAAAATTCGGCGAATGACGTTTGATTTGCTCCCTTTACGTCTGTAAGAGTGAATGGGTCTTGTGTTGGTGCAATGACTAAGTTATTTTTGCTTGGAGTAAGTTCGATAGAAATTTTTCCTGCCCAGTTTGGCAAGTATCTTAAAAAACCTGAAGATGAGGAAAGATGACAAAGGAACTCTAAGTTTCAATTTTACTTTGGTTACTGCTGCTGCAGTTTGTCCAGAAAGGTCAACATAAACTCCTGGAACGTTAGGGTCAAGTCTTCTTATTTCTCAATAGTTTGCATACTGGTCTGTTTGTTCTCTAGCTTGTGGTTGTACTGAGTTTTCTCAAAGCGAACCATTCATAGTTTGCCCAGGTTACTGTTTGAACTAAGTCAGAGTTAGAATATATCTTATATCCCATGAAAACTTCTGGAGCATATTGGTATCCGACATAGAAAATTCCATTGCAACCTTTCTTGTCAGACAACTTGGCAGAAGGTTTTATTTCAATGTCTTGTTCCACGTATAAGAAAGAGTTGTCAATAGAAATTATATGAACCTGTCGCAAGCAATATCTACTGTTGTTGAAAGAACCTTCTCCAAACTCACCTACGTTTCCATAAGAAACAGCAGTTGTATATTCGTAAGTTCCAGGAACTATTTCTGACCTTCTAATGGCATTGTCGCATTCGTTATACCATTCGGAAATTTCCATTCATAGCATCCAAAACTGTTGGCGTTATATTCTGAGCGGCGTACATTTCATATGGGTAAAAATATAGAATAGTTTGGATTTATATGTCATAATAGAACCCACGTGGACCAAGCTTTACTTTCTTCCTGACTGAGTTTTTTAACTCTTCTTTTTTCCTTCATTGCCACTACTTTCACTAGATGAAGTTACTTCTTCACTACTTTCACTTTGTTCTACTCTCTCTTCTTCTTTGGTGCTTTTGGTAACTTGCCCTCTGCTTCAAGTTGTTGCATCTTTGCCTCATGTTCACCTAGTATGTTGTAAATTTCCCATGTCCTTTTTGCCTTTGGGCTCTGGTCGCCCATCTCAGGTAACCTATATCCTAGAAAGAGTTTGTCATAGTTTGTATTTGAGTCTTTGCGTATTGTTTGCATGACTCTTCCTGAGTTTCCGGTTCAAGCTCTCAAACAGTGCCTGTCCATATGGAATAACTCGTTTCCAAATATATGTTTTGTAGCCATTCTGGTTTTCTTTCCATGTTACCAACTATATCTTTTGTGAATGGGAAAGCTTTTACCAATCTTTCAGTCTTGCGTCGTTTTATTTCTGTAGTTTGGTTTTATTTTGTCAAGGAACATGTTTTTCAATACTAACATTTCATTTGGTACTGTCCATTTGAGTTTACTTAAATATTCATCCCTTCTCGGTTCATTGTCTGCAAAGTAAGTTTTTTATGACATTTTGTAAACTTTCGTTTGCAAGGTCATGTACAATAGGTTCTCTTCCTTCGCTCTCCCTAACTTTCTTTCTAAACTCTTCACAAATATACCATCTCTATGGTTCTGTGTAGTTCTTTGAGATAAATGTTCTAGAACGTCAGGTGTTATATTTCCATCAGCCATGTTCATTTCATACTGGTCCAAAATATCTGCATGTTTCATATCTTTCAATGGCATTAAAGCCGCGCTTAAAATACCAGCTATATCTCGTTCACCATTGACTTCCATTGCGTCTACAACTTCTTGGAATTGAGGTTGTAAGTTTATGAACCACCTATCCGGATTAGCTTTATGACCCCATCTCATTGTAGTTCCATAGTCTGCAGAAACAAAAGTAGGTTTGTTTCCATATTGGTTAGGTTCTGAATGAACTTTAAACAATGTTTCATTTCTATATGTTTTGTTGAAATTTAACCTTTTATTTTCACCGAGTTCGTCCGAAGATTGAACGTTAAATGCTCGTAAGTAAAAAGGATTATTGTATTTGTGTACATTTTCTTTCAGTACCTCCATTCTATGCTGAATATTTTCATCTGGTGTTGGAGTCTTTTGTATGTCGGCAAACATTTTTCGATATTCTTCTACTATGTCAGCCGAATTTTTTTTAGACTCTTGGAAATATTCCATATTCTCCGCATACTCTTGTTGAGGGTCAAGATTTTTCGGCTGTTCCAAATCTTCATCTAGTTCTGTGAAGTTAGTTTCCAAAGGAAGGACTTGTTCGTTTCCTTCAGGCTCTTCTAGCTGTTGTTGCTGAACTATTTCTTCCATGTCTGGTTGTATCTGAACTAGTTCTTCCTGTGGAGTTTCTTGTACCTCATCTGCTGGCATTTCATATATTCCGAGACCGTTTTTAAAAAGTTCCCTTTCTAAGTCATCCGGACTCATAAACCTTTCTTCTTTCGTTCCGTCTCTATTTTTTACGCGTTTCATGAAGAGAGTTAAATTGTCATTTAGCTCTGACATCAAATATCTCGGAGTAAATTCGTTCATGTCATTTGGATGATATGCTATTAAATCATATCCCTTAGCGAGCTTGTATTTTCCAGGTTTGAGATTATATCCCCTTTGGTGCAGAGCCATAAAGCTAAATAGGTTCGGGTCAGTATTTCCATCCTTGAACTTTCGAATAGCTTCTTTATATCTGTCACTAAAGTCAATAGTATCTGGGTAACCATAGTCTTCTTTAAGCATTTTTAAGAATTCTTGGTTTCCTTGTTCTCTACTTCTTTTATGTCCTTGCTCTGTTTGTGGTTGTTGCTGTGCAGGGTTTTGAACTGTTGGTTGTTGTGCTGGTTGTGGAGGTGGTTGTTGTGCAGGGTTTTGAACTGTTGGTTGTTGTGTTGGTTTTGGTGCATGCCTGTGTCTGTGTCCATGTGACGATGTAAATGTTTTAGGTAGTCCTGGTGCAGGTGCTTCTCTTGGAGGGTTTGGTGGTATATAAGTTCCACCAGCTGGCACATATGTTCCATCTGCAGCGTAATGTCCTACCTGACTTTTCGTTCTTAAGAAAGCATTTACTAGGTCTGTTTTGGTCTGTTGTAACTCTTTTTCTTGACTTTCCACAACAGTTGCTCTAACGGCGTCATAGGCACTTTGAACTGCCTGTCTCGTTGCTGCATCTGTTATTTTCGTCATATTTTGTGCTACTTCTTTTAACTCTTTGTCGAAACCTTCAGACTTCAGTTTCTTTCCAGATGAGAAGTCGTTCACTTGTTTCACCTTACTATGAAGAGCTTCGAAGGCGTTCTTAAAGTCAGCATTTGTTAAAGCTTCATTTGAACTGTCTTCATCCGCTTGTATTTTTGTCCTTATTGACCCTATAAGCTGGGCTGCTTTAGCGTTGGCTTGGGCATCTAACCAGTCATTGTTAGCTTTTATATATTCTGCGCTTTTCATTGCCTTTTGCATAGCCGCGTCGTTATTTTTACTTTCTTGTGCTAAGTTTTCATACTGTACGGTTTGGTTTTGCAACTGTAAAAGTTTTTCTGCCTTTACATTTGCTTCAACTTCCTTTTTATACTCATCGCTATCCATATATGTCTTCAGGGCTTTTTGTTTTATCTCTTCATCTTTCAGTATTTTATATTGAGTAGTATGGTTTTTCAAATTTATGACATCTTGTTCCATTTTTGCTACTTCTGCTGCTTTTTCTGACACTTTTTTCGCATATTCCTCTGTACTTAGTTCTTTCAGTTGTTCTTCTTTCTTCTTTTTCTCTACGTTTAACTCATTGAGTTTCTTTGTGTGTCTGTCATATTCTAGTTTCTTTTCGTTTTCACTTATTTGCTTCTGTATGTCTATGTTTGACTTTTTGACATCTGTTATTTGATTTTTGAGTGAACTCAAATTCATTTGACTTTGAGGGTTATAGGCTGTTCCGTCTGCAGCTCCACCATAGCCTGCCATTTTCGCTAAAAGTGCCGCTCTTAAACCTCCACTCTGTGCACCAATGACTCGGTTTAAAAGCATAGGATTGCTTGACATTTGTTGCAACATAGTGGGGTCATTCAGCATTTGTTGTTGCAACTGTTGTTGTGGTGTCAGTTTTACTATTGGATGTTTCAATGCTCTCTTCCTCTTACGTATATTCTTACGTAGCTTACGTGGCATTTTAAGTGAAGTTAAAAAGCGGCTTTATACTAAACATCTTCGGGGCTAGAGGGCGCAACGCGCCTGGAAGCCCCAATACCTTTTTTTTTTTTTTTTTTTTAACAGCCATGTTATGTGCAACATGGTGATTTATAACATTTCCGGAATAAAATATTAACTTTTTATCTGAGAAAATTGGGCGATAAAATTTGGATGTAAAAAAACTGACAAAACTAACGATCAATATTTTTTAAGTGATTTTAGACAAACAAATTGTATTTTAACTATGATTTGTCCTGATATTTGACAATTTTGCCATTCAGATTTTTTATTCAATTTTTAAATGTTTTACAATTTGCTCTTTCTGCGGTACAATCGATACCCAAGGGTGAGAAATTTTATACACACACACCTTCCCGAGGAAAATGGTTTGTTTACCCCAAAATATGTCACATCGAGAGACCCAATAAGTATTATTGAATCTCAAATTTTTACCAAAACAGAGGATTATAGTACATCAAATCTTAATAAAATTTCAAAACATATTATTGACTCGTTCAATATCGACGAAAAAAAACTTAACAAACTTTTTTAATGAAGCAAAAGACAAGTCGGAGTCTAAAAAATTATTCTATCGAGTTGACTTTGATAAACATCCAAATCCTGATTTCAGGAGAGCCATTTTATATGGAACTGTCGTTAAAGTTACAAAATCAGGAAATATCTTTACCGTGAATGTTCGTCAAGTCCAAGTGCATCAATTAATAGAAGCAAGTCTCATAGTACATCATACCAGAAGAATCATAATATTCCCTGATAATTGGATCTCCAGAGAACAACGTAATCTCAAAGACTATGAAATTAGTGAAATCGTCCAAAAATCCCAATCTCTCATTTCCAATAAATTAGAAGAATTCAAGAGAATTTAATATTTCATTTAATTATTTTGATTATAATTAAACAATTGCGTGTATATTTCGTTTAAGCTTTCCTTTTTTATCCAAATTTATCCAACATTAAATAGTTTTGCTAAAAAAATTCCTGAATATTAGAAGTTTGAACAGAAGTTCCAAGAAATAGATGTCCGATAAAAAATAATTTTCAGATAATGGTTATAAATGCTGCAACTAGGTTCATTTCATTGGTTATAATATGCATATTTAATTTTATATATAAGAGAGCATTATTATTTCGTATGACCAAAGTTCCAATAGAAATGATAACATATGAATTCATCTATATTTTCCAATACACAAAAAATTATGAGAAATATTAACTGGAAAAAATGGTACCACTGGGGTTCGAACCCAGGCACCTCGCGGTAATGGGGCTTAAATCCATCGCCTTAGACCACTCGGCCATAGTACCATCACATTTATCTTTTCAAAAGAGTATTTTTAATAGTTTACACTTATTAAGTCCCATATGTTTTAAAGTGTTATCTTTCATAATCTTTTATTATCTTATTAAATTAAATCTTGTTCCATTTCGACTTATAATTAGAATAGGTATTTTTATTTTATTGGCATTCATTTTAGAAATTTGCCTTTAGATTATGACTATAAAGGATCTACCTAAGGGTTTCGTTTTGCTAAAATTGTCACTTTTATAGCATATTTGTTTTTGGATGTTTTGCGAAACCAAAAAAAAACTATGATATACAATGTGTGTGTAAAGAAAATACTTTATTTACTAGTTAAAAAATCATTTGGTATTGATCAAGTTATTTTTTCTGGATAAGATATTATATGGATAATTGGATAGAAAATACAATTATATAATCTTGTACCTGGTTTAATTAAGCTAATTGTCATCAGAAACTTGTAATTTTTATGAATTTCAGATTTTCTTTTCATTACTGCTTTTCTTAATAGGTCAAGTTCTTATTTACGTTATAAAGTATGATATTTACAAATATCAAGTTATCGTGTTTTTTGAGAAATTATGAGAAACAAACAAAAATGAAAAAGATAGGAATAACAATGAATAGTGATGTGGGTATAGAAAATGTAAGAGATATGAATGCAAAGCAATCAGTATTTAGGATATTGACCATAGATTTCGAAAAAAAATGCTGCATATTGAGCGAAAACTATGATTATATTATAAGGCTGTCATTTAAAGCATAATGAAACTATTCTCTTTTCATTTTAATCGAATAAGATAGTAAAGATTTTTGAATTAGCTAGAAACTGATGAGATGTTTTCACAAATCAGATTTTTAATCTCTATAATGCATAATTCACTCAATATCTCAATTTTGATATTGCGAGATATTTTTGCTATCGGTTTCGCAATTTTGACACAATAGCAAGAGGGTTCTATAAGCATTATTATCAACGTAGAATCTGAATATCATATCAGAAAATGTCGCAAATCTGACATTTACCCGACCAAATAGCAAAAATAATTGAATACTTTTCGCAAAAACCTTAAAAATCGATAAAAATATGAAATATAGATATTAAAGAGACTTTTTATATAATATTCATAAAGATTTTCCAAAAATATGATACCGCAAAATTAAAAAAGTGACGTCTTGAGTGGAGTCAAAGGTCGAAATTGCTAGCTAAATGTTTTTTAGCGAAATTGCGTATTGTACGTTTTTTTCGCAAAACGAAACCCTTAATCTACCCCATACGATTTTCATCCTTACTCAGTAAAGCTCCAAAAAGGCTATTATCTGTTTGAATTATGGGGTTGTTCAAGCGGTGCTTTCACGAAAGAACAAAACTATGCATCAGGTGGATCATATACTAAAGGTTACATTTTACTAAGAAGAAATACAAATTTTTATTTGCATATATGTTCTCAAGGTCAAATAAATATGAAAAAGTACGCTTATGGCGGAGGAGGGCCAGGGCAGCAAGGCGGTGGCGGGGCTACAGATATTAGGCTGCAAGATGGCCTATACGATGATTTTGATTCATTGAAAAGTCGCATAATGGTTGCCGCTGGTGCAGGAGCCGCCGATACCAATGATTTTGGAGAGCCTGGAGGAGCTTTGGTTGGATACAATAGCTCGCAAAATCGTGGTAAAGGTGGCACTCAGATAAGCTATATTAGTGGTCATCAAGGATGTATAGCCATTTTGGAAAATTCAACGAAATCAAAAATTTATTCGAAAACCGATGGAGATGTTTCAGTTCATTATTCTGGATATAAGTTTGAAAATACACAGATACTTGATGGTAAAAAGCCTATGATAGCTCCAAATGGAGAATCGGAAGTCGGACATTTTGGAAATGGATATGCCAGAATAAGTCTGATCCATCAATTCGTTTCTGATCATTCATGCAATTATAATACTTGTTTTTTTTTTTATGGTTTGATTATGAATAATTAGATGACATATACAGATGAAAATACAAAGTATGTATATTCAACCGACAAAAAAGTTCTAGATACTGTTCCAAGTAATGTTATTCACGCAGTTGTTCCAAACTTTGTTGAAATCATTAAAGGTAAGAGTAGTAATTTATATGCATTCAAAGAATGCAGTTCTACTGTTGAGACTATTTCATTTGAAGAGAACACTCTTCTTTCAGAAATTCAAAATTATTTATTTTATACTTGTTCTAAACTTAACAATGTTGACCTTTCTGGATGCACACATCTGACAACTTTTTGTAGTAACGCATTTCAAAATTGTATTTCATTAGCAACTATAATATTACCTCAAAATTTAGTCAAAGTTGGTGAATTTTGTTTTTCTAACATTAGTGCTACCTCAATAACCCTTCCTGCAGCACTTGAAGAATTACCAACATCGTTATTTCAATCTTCATCTAAATTAAAAACAATTGATATTCCATTAACAAATAATTTAAAATCTTTGAAAGGCAGAATTATTGCATCGACAAGTGTTAATATATTCACTATAACAGATAAAGTTACGACAATAGAAGTAAATGTTTTTGAATTTGCTTTTGGATTAGAAACAATAGTTGTAACCAAAGGAAATACAATATATTCAATCCAAAACAATGCCCTCATTAAAGGTACAACATTACTTGCATATCCAAATAATAGACCCGGTGATGTTGTAATTCCTAATGGAATAACTACAATCGGATCTTTAGCTTTTAAGGATTCAAAGATCACTGGTGTTACAATACCAGAAACAGTAACTGAAATTGGATCATGGGCTTTTGTTAGAAGTCCTTTGAAAACAATTTATATCCCTGATTCAGTAACTACTATAAATTATTCTTGTTTTTATACTACTATAACACTTGAATCTGTTAGATTGCCATCAAAAATTCAGCTATTAGATACGGATTTATTTCGAGGATGTACAAAATTAACATCAATTGAAATACCGGCTTCAGTTACTGTAATTGGAGCCAATTGTTTTGCAGCTACTGGATTAACAGAAGTTGTCTTACCAGATAATTTAACAAATATTGGTGGAAATGCATTTCCGCCGAATACAAAACTAATATTTGGTAGTCAATCAAAATTTTATGTTGATGAACAGTATTTGGTATTAGATAAAGAAAATACATCAGTTTCTGTTTATCTTGGTGCTACATTAACTGTAATCAAGATCCCATCAACTGTTAAAGTTATTAAAACAAAAACCTTCTTTAATAAAGCTGAACTTCAAAAGCTAAATCTTGATTCAAATTCAGAATTAACAACAATTGAAGATTATGCCTTTTATGGATGCACAAATCTCCAATTTGTTACTCTTCCACAGAAAATCACATATAGGGTGTCCAAAGGTGCGTTTAGCACAGCGCTCTATATGAGACTATTAAAGGAGATATATGCTGATTATAAATATATAATAAAAAATATGAATATATGTATATGATGAGTAAGTTGTATTTTGGCGCCATGCCGGGATATAAAATGAATTTTGAGACAAGAGGCGGTTTCGCGGGAAATTTTGGCGGGATTTTTTTCATTTTTTTAATGAATCATAAAGAAAACATCCGCGCTCTTGCAAAAAAATGCAAAGACTGTAAAAAATCTACGAGACATTGGTAAAATGCTTCGGTATGGATGCTCCTAGCTATTCCACTGTAACGTATCATGTTAGGATGTATCACTTCATGAACAAAAAGGCGCCCATCATAAAAATTGACAAAAAATCGCCGGATCAAAGAAAAATCAAAGCAATTCTTCAAGCGCTAGATGAAGACCCAAGAGCATCACTCAGAAGGATAGAGGAGATGACAAAGATACCACGTACAACAGTCAGTTATTATCTGCACAATTATTTGAACTACAAACTAGCGTATACACGTTGGGTTCCGCACAACCTTAATTCAGTTCAAAAAAAATCTAGAGTCCAATCTTCGAAAGAGCTCCTCTCTATATTGGGTGCGTATCAATCCAAGAAGTTTCGCTTTTTAGTAACAGGGGACGAGTCTTGGTTTCAATATGCAACAGAAGCCAAAATCATGTGGATCCCGAAGGATGAAAATCCGCAAACATTCCCGAAGAAAAAAATTGACACACCAATGATGATGTTGTCGGTTTTTTGGGGCGTGAATGGCATCATCGCAATTGATATTCTTCAAAAACCTAATACGATGAATGCTCAGTATCTAATTGACAATGTTCTTACTCAAATTATCAATTCTGATGAGTTTGAGAAATCCAAACAACAAAAACAAAAGTTTGCAATTCATTTTGATAATTCAAGAGTTCACAAAAGTCATAAGGTAATGAATTACTTGGTGGAAAACAATGTCAAAGTTGTTCCAAACCCAATTTATTCACCTGATATTGCACCCTCTGACTTTTATTTATTCGGCACGCTAAAAAAGAGAGCTGAAGGACGCGAATTCGCGAGTCCAGATGATCTTGAAAATTTTGTAAGAGAGCAATTTGAGCAATTTTCTCATGATGATTTAAAGCGTGTCTTTCAAGCCTGGATCGATCGCTGCGAACGCGTGATTGAATCCAATGGTGATTATATTTAAATAAACTTTATATATATGTAACTTGTTTATTTCTATTCGCAGTATTCAGGTTTGTGCTAAACACACCTTTGGACACCCTATATATTGGACAATTTTCATTTTCAAAGTGCAACAAACTCACAGAAATTACATTACCAAGCTTAGTATCGATGTCAATCAGTTCATTTGAAAGTTGTTCTAAACTTAACAATATCATATTTGAGACAAGTTCAGTGACAATATTAAGATCTCGATCATTCTATTCATGTCAATCACTATCGTCAATCAAACTCCCATCTACAATAGTTTCTATCGAATCAGAATGTTTTGCATATTGTAATCAACTTTCTATAGTTTCATTCCCACAAACTTTACAAACAATATCAAATAATGCATTCATTAATTGTAACATTGTGAGTGCCGATCTTTCTAAGTGTACTAAAATAAACATATTGAATGATTATGTTTTCCACTCAAACATTGATTTGTCAGACTTCAAGTTCCCACCAAACATCAACACTATCGGTGTTCATTCACTTTCTAAGACATCTATTTCAAGAATCAATCTGCCATCACGAGTTCAAACTATCAATAACTATGCATTCGAAGAATGCAGCAACTTAGACACGATCATCATTCCAGAAGACTCAAATCTTGAATTCCTTGGTATTGGTGTTTTCCGTTATTGCTTTTCGATTTCGACAATCAATTGCACATGTCCTCGATATTCTATCTTCGGTGGTGCACTTTTCAACTCTGATAAGACGAGTCTTATTCTATTCCCACCTGCATCGAGATACTCTTTCTTTTCTCTCCCTGACACAACTACGACAATCAGTCAATCTGCATTCCAAAGTTGTCGAAATCTTGTTTCTGTCTTCATTCCAAGTTTCAGTGTTCGCACTATCTCATCTAATGCATTCGAAGGCTGCACATCTCTCAAGTCTATCAACATCCCACTTTGTGTCGAACGTGTTGAACAAGATGCATTCCTTGGTTGTTCATCACTCGAATGTGGTCTTCATATCGAGAATCGAAACAAAGATTTCATTCATAAACTCGTTAATGTCTCTGGTCTTCCTTCTATTTCTATCAAACAATGTATTTCACTCTACTCCTGCAAAGATAAACTTGACAAATTCTCAATCAACATGATCTCTCCCTTCATTGTTATTTATATTTCTTGATATACTAAAATTCATAAATTCTATTAACTTTTTTTAATCAAATAAAATGAACAACAAATATTTTGAGTAATATATAAGTTGTCAAAACTCATTATATTTGTTTTTGCAAGGCATGAACTTAAGGGTATTTATATCATAAATTGAATCCCCTGGTAAATATGAGCACAGATATACAATAAAATTATATATCAAGTAGTTATTTTAACCAATTCAAGTTAAGAAACCTTTATTTTTTGTTGTAAGAATTTGAATTAAATTTCAAACTGAATACTTGCATTTAATATATTATCGTTGTCATATGATGTTTCGTCAGATTCCTGGTTCGTGTAGGAGAGTAAATATAAAATTGTCAAAGGCACCAAATTCATTATTGTGATCCATGAAGCATTATATATTGCAATCACTTTATACACTCGAGCTTCACTTTGATTTATGGTTTCTATTATGGTACCTCTAGTCTTTGACTGAACATAGTATGAATTGCCCATATTAAAAGCAAATATATTAATTATCGTTACTAAAGGAATGAAGAAAATTGCTATTTCTAATTTTAATCTTTTTTGGTTATCAACCATATCTTTTATACTTGAGAAAATGAATATAATTGACAATAGGATAAAGCTTAATACAAATATAACTATTCCCAAATGAAAATTTAGTTTATACTTAGTAAGAATTGTTTGAATAAAGTTAGAAATATAAGGGATTTCGATATAGAACGTAATATATCTTAAAGTTCCAATTAATACTAAAAAATACTCAAATATTTTTGATAGATAATATAGGACGTTTGATCCGAAAACGTGGAAAATAGTCAAAATTTTTGATATATCGTTAAAATAGATAACAAATGTATATATTCGAAATATCCTACAAGCCGTAATAACAATAATTGTGGTCTGAATTTGATTCGACAAGAAAGTTAAAGACCAAAACATACTAAAGGTCGAACAAATCATATTTGAAATGCAAAATAAGACACTATGATAGTTGAATTTATTTCTGATTAGATTTATCTGTTTTAATAATATGACTCCAATAAAAGAATATGGTAAAATTAAAAGAAGCGCCAACATCATTGCACTTATTCCCAAATGTTGCAGTGCATGTAGGATGTGATGGAAAATTACATCTATTGCTTATTAAACCAGCTGCAATTATATGATTTTTCATTTTCTAATTTCCATATGAAAAGTGACAGTGATCTGCTGTTTACGAAATACTGAAATTGCACACATATATGAAATTATGATTATATGGTTTCGGATTAAATTGAATGGTTTTATTTTCAAAAAATTGAATGGAAACTAAAAAAAAATTATGTTTCTTTGACATAAATCTTAGCTTTAGAATCATTGTCAGTCACAAATCATATAAATTCTACAATTCAACGATAAATATATGAAATGACATAATTTCCTGTTATTTCATTGAACAGAATGTAATAACTTAACCAAATTCAATAAATCCCAATATATTCATATTTATATATTTTGAAAATGTTATAAATATGATCAAAATTTGCAATTTTTTATTTTCTCTCTCATTTACCGATAATATTTACTCCAAAACAAAACAATTTATATTTCCATTTGTAGATTTTCATTAAAGACATCATCAGTTTTAATTGTGATTTCTTCAGTAATTTTAGTAGTAGAAGACAGCAAAAATAAGATTACTAGAGGTGCCAAATTCATTGTTGGAAACCATGTAGCATTATAAAATAGTATTCCATGGTAAGTAAGGAATTGTTTTGTTGTTTTGAAAGAATTTATGTAAATAGGAAACAAAGATTGATAATATCTTGAATTTAACCATGTGAAAAGTAATATGTACATCATTAATATCAATGGAATGAAGAAAATTGCAATTTGCAATTTCGATCTTTTGCCTGATTCAAGCATTTCCTTTAAATTAGAGAAAATAAATGTCATAACAAGCATGATAAAGCTTAGTACGTATATAATGACTACTAAATAGAAAAGTCCACTCTTTTCGTAATAAATTAGATCAATAAACTCAGAAATATAAGGTATTGTTATATAAAATGATATATATATAACTGTTCCAGTGCATATTAGTATGTATTGAAGCAGTTTTGATAGATAATAAATGATTTTTGAGCCGTATACGTTAAAAATCATTAATATCTTTGCAATATCATTGAAATAGATAACAAATGTGTATATTTGAAATATTCTTATTACATTTGTCAAAATATATATAGTGGAGGCTTGAATTGTTAAAATTGTGAACGACGAAAAAGAAAAACACATAGAACAAATCATATTAGAGAAGCAAAACAGTATCCCATGCTCTTTATATACATTGCGTATCATATTTGTATGGTTAAATAACAAAATTCCAATGAATGAATAGGGAATTAGAAGAATTAGTTCGTAAATCATGGAAAGAAAACCGAAAGGTGTATCGCATGTTGGAGTTGCTGAAAATTTGCACCTAAAGCCAATCACCCCTGTTGTTGCTAAATAGATATTCATAAAAAATGAAATTCAATCAAAAATTAGCCTAACAAGCTTTCAAAAAATTGCCTATAAAATTTTCATACAAATCATAACCAATATTCTGATCTTGTGATTTATTGAGAGAAAAATAAATAAGGTTTAAAAATTGAACACAAAAGAGTAAAAAAAGGATGAATCAAATTATTCATCCAAAATGGCTCTTTCATAATAAATTATCTAAATAAGCTAAAATTCATATCTATTTGATATAAGAATTAACAAATTAATTTATATGTACATCATTAATTAATTTTAATGATTATTTAATCTCATTCATAAAATCAAACCAATTCTCAGGTTTATTCAGAATTTTGATTCAACGAATAAGAAATCTCAATAATCTATTCAAGGTAATTTAACAATATTGTGGATTATAGCATGATGCATATGAACCTGCTTAATATTTTTAAGGACCTCCTCCTTCAATGATTGTTATTTTGTTACTTCAAATTTGATTTATGAATAAGTGTTTGTGAAAGAATCAGTGATATCAATGTACAAATTACATTATTGATACAAGCTCATATATCCTCTCACATGGCTATTCTGTGAGAGACTACTTGGTTATAGATAATATATTGTAACCCTAGATTTAAGCCGAAAATGATTTTTTTTAATCAATTGATGAAAACAAATTATTAAGTTTTGATCAAAAAAATAATACAATTTGCATAAACAATTAATATTGAATTTCTAGATTTATACTCTTTTCAATGACGTCATCAGTTTGGTTATTTGTGTCATCATCTGCATTGGATGAAAATGATAATAAATTCAAAATTAGTAAGGCAACTAAGCTCATAATGAAAAACCAATAAGTTTGATACCACCAACGGAATCTTGTTAAATATATATCTGTTTTATCTTTCGCAAAAAAGATAATCGTATTCATTTTTGAGTAATAATACAAAGAATTAACCCATTTAAATATGTTAATATATATGATTACAATCAATGGGATGAAAAAGATTAATATTTTAAGCTTGAGTACTTTGCTTTTTTCAAAGAAGTCCTTCATATTTGAGAAGCAAAAAATGACGGAAAGAATAATGAAACTCAATGCATATACAATTAATACAAGATAAAAAGTAAAATTGGATTTAGTAATAATGTTTGTTATGAAATTTGAAAGGAATGGAATAGTAACATAGAATGTTATTAGCTTGACAAGTATTAGAAATACTAAAACATATTCTAGAGCTTTCGATGCATATAAAATGATTTTCCCTCCTTTTACGCTAAAAATTAAGAAAACTCGTGAAATGTCTGTAAAATAAATGCAATAAGCGAATATTTGAAACAATCGCATGCACTCAAACAGATTGTCAATTAGGAATCTTAAACCATAAATTCTTGTATAGAATATCAAAGAAAAAGCAAACAAACTGATAAGGTTTGTGAAACAAAACAACAAACCATGGTGCTTTTTCTTTTTTCGAAATAAATTTGTTTGATAACACAATAATACTCCAATATATGAGTAAGGAAGCAAGCAAAAAATCATTACAATGAATGATGCTATGTTAAATGTTGAATTACATGATGGATAGGCTGAAAAAGAGCAACGTTCATCCAGCATACCCATGACCCATATATACGCATTAAGCGACATTTATTTTTATAAAAAAAAAATAAACGTAAGAATTCAGAACTGCTAACGTTCATGAAAATTAGAATCTGCAAATGATTAAAGAAATTGTTTGAAATGTGGCCGTAGGCAAGCTCCGTCCAAATTGCGAACAAATTTTTAAATTACACTATAGATCCGTTGTGAAATTTTAATTCTATCCCATTGGAGGAGATCAATTAGAATTCTCCATGTAGGATGCTAATGGTGTGAATAGATGGGCATAAATAAACTAAAAATACAATATATTTTTTAAATAATTTAGATATTATGCATGATTGCATATAATTTGATATATTAAATATCAATTGGAACAGGTCTAAATATGATAAACTGCAAGAAAATGCTTATTAACAATGTTTCAAGCAAAACAACAAGTATTTCATCATCTATTTTCCACACTAGTCATACAAGTTTCTATTGTACGGTGTTTGTGATAGCTCGGCAAAAGGCAGAGTTTATTCCAATGGTATGAAAATCAAAATTTTTGGTAAGGTCATATCCGCCTATGGAGGAAATGCTTTTTCACCTACAAAAACAATAGTATTGGTGATACTAGTAACTACCTTTCTTCAAAGAAAAAAGTTCGATAAATCTTTGTGATGTTAAGAAAATCTATTTTCTGAATCAAAAACTTATATGTGTATTAAGACAGAAAACCCACAAGGTGTAAAGTTCTTTATATATTGTCTTTTTAAAATAATAATAAATTCAATATCTTCAAACTTGATTACCATTTCTTTAGGTCGCTAAATTGGTGCATGGTGATACAGTTTAGATCATATTTAAAAATATTTCTGGATTATTGAATAATTTTGATTGATTTCCTATGAATTAGAAGATAAATCTATCCCTGGAGCAACCACTAATGTTACACATAATAACAGAAGATATGTTTTCGATTATCCTTGCAATTCGTCATTTGTTTGCACCGATTATTCTATTCAATTGCATCCGGCAACCTACAAATTCGAATTATATGGTGCAAGTGGAGGATCCTCACGATATAAAGTATCTACTTATTCATATGCGAACAAAATTTGTATTCCATCTAATATTGTTTCTCTTTTAGGTGGTAACACAGAGTGCTATCAAGGCAATAGCATTGGCGGTGCAGGCGGATATCTTTCAGGAAAAATAACTCTTCGACATCCAATGAATGCTTTTATAACAATCGGTGGCAAAGGATCTTTTGGCCATAAATCAATTGCTCCGGGAACTAAGGATTGTTTTATGAAAGAAAATATGCAACCTGGTGGATATGGAGGCGGCGGAAGTTCATCTAGCTATCCATATGGAACAGGGAGCGGAGGTGGCCAAACCGCTGTCAAATTTCTTGAAAATGATCTCTGGCATCGTGTTTTAGTGAGCGGTGCCGGTGGAGGGTGTGATGATTACGATCCAGATGATGGAAGCGGGGGTGCAGGAGGAAATCTAACTGCACAAGGATGGTTCTATAACGGTAATTATATTAGCACGCACTTGGCAAATTCCACATTTGGATTTTCATTTGGCCAAGGAGAAGCCGCAAGATTTGGATCAGCTCCACCAAATAATTCTCGATCGATTAAGAGTAGTACAAATGGCGATATAGCTCGAGGTGGAGGAGGTTGGTTTGGCGGTTTTTCTGCCATGAGCGGTTATGCGGGTGCAGGTGGAGGTTCTTCATTTGCATTGACAAAAGATGCAATTATCCCTCAAGGAAATATTACTGCAGCAGACAAATTTTATAATTTATTTGATTCCAAACCATATGCATTTGATTTGAATAGTGAATATCTTTTCACTGATGTCATTCATATGCCTGGTATTTGGGAAGGCAACGGACGACTTATTATTACAATTCTTGATACAAAATTATTTTTGTCATGTCATTTCAAATCTCAAATCTACTTCAATCCATCATTAATATTTGGATTGATTGAATCATAAAATGTAAATTTTATGCAATAACTTTTTGTACATAAAAATATAAAATCCTATTAATTACGTGAGAGCATTTTATTTGACGAAATAAGTAGGCTGTTATTTGATGAAATATTTCTATATATGATTTCAGTTTTATTTTAGAAACAATATCAATTTATAAATTTTTCATAAAATAAATTGAGAGGAACAATAAGGTTGTATTTGACAATTTAATTTTTAAAGCATATGAAATTATGCGAATTAAATTATGATATCATACGATTTATTACCAAAACAAGGTGTAAATGCAAGGAAAAATGTTACGGTTATTGGAAATCAATATATTTTCAATTATCCTTGTGAAAATACATCAGATTGCACTGATTACATTGTTCAATTATCACATGGTACATTCAAATTCGAATTATATGGTGCCAGTGGTGGTAGTGCACGAGATAAAGTTTCTTCATTCCGAAACAAAAATAAAGTTTGCATCTTAGATGAAATTGTCCAACAATTCCATGGTAATACCGAATGTTTTCAACAAGATAGTATTGGAGGTGCAGGGGGCTATTTATCTGCTACTATCACAATACGATCTTCCATCACATCCTTTTTCACTATCGGAGGTAAAGGTATATTCGGTAAAAAAGGTGATATGTCTGAGACTATTGAATGTTTTAAGAAAGAGAATATGCAACCAGGTGGATATGGTGGAGGAGGAAGCTCCTCTAACTATCCAAAGGGGACGGGTAGCGGAGGCGGCCAAACAGCTGTCAAATTTCTTGAAAACAATCTCTGGCATCGCGTTCTTGTGAGCGGTGCTGGTGGAGGGTGTGATGATAACTATCCAGATGATGGAAGCGGAGGTGCAGGAGGAAATCTTGTTGCACAAGGTTGGTTCTATAGCGGTGATTATGTCGGAAATTATACAGCAAATTCCACATTTGGATTTTCATTTGGTCAAGGAGAAGCTGCTCGATTTGGAAGGAGTAAACATCCTTATGCTGTACCCACAAGTAGCATTCAAGATATTGGAGGTGCAGGTGGTGGATGGTTTGGAGGATTTTCTTCTCAATCAGGTCAAGGAGGTGCAGGTGGAGGTTCTTCATTTGCATTGACAAAAGATGCTATTATTCCTCAAGGAAATATTTCTGCTTATGATGAGTTTTATAATTTAATTGATTCTAAACCATATGCATTTAATTTAAACTCAGAATTCCTCTTCAAAGATGTTATTCATATCCCTGGTATTTGGGAAGGCAACGGACGACTTATTATTACAATTCTTGACTCAAAATTATTTATATCTTGTAATATCATTTCTCCAATCCACTTCAATCCATCATTAATATTTGGATTGATTGAATCATAAAATGCAATTCATGAGTCATTTTGTGAGCTTTACAAATTTTGCAATATATTAGGACACACTTGCCAGAACCAAAGCTGGATAAATATAAAAAATATAACCTTAAACCTTCATAAAATTTCAACTACCAATTTTGGTAAAATTAAGTAAGGTGCATCTTATTTATATACATTACTTAATCTTAAGCTTTTGATTTTGCTAATAATCCAAACAAATGAGTGAGCTTGAATCTAAAGATTACAGTGCTGATGGTCTTACATTATTATTATCAGTATCAAGTAAGTCACCAAATATTATTATTTCATCGAAATGTGAAACAATCTTTGGAAGTGATCAAAATAATTATGCATTCAGAATTGCCAAAGATATTGTTGAAACATTTGCATTTCAAAACAATCCAAATCTCAGATATATCAATAATTATGCATTCCACAGTTGTACAAAATTACGTTCTGTTGATTTATCAATGTGTACAAAACTCGAAAAGTTAGGAAGTTTTTCATTCTCTAAATGTCTGTCCGTTACAACATTCATTTTACCAGAAGGATTAAAAGTAATTGGATATTGCGCTATCAGTGAGCTAAGTATTACAACAATCAACATTCCATCATCAGTTACATATATTAGTGATTTTGGAGTTAGCAATATGAGATCTTTAAAGAATGTCACGTTCTCTAAAGGATCACGACTTACCATCTTGATGTTTAATACATTTATTACAACAGGATTGACAACATTTACTATTCCAGAAAAAATATCTTCATTAAATGGGCTAACCTTCAGTGATTGTGCTTCAATGGAAACAATATACTTAGATCCTTTGAATAATAACTTTTATTGTGATCGAAATATAGCAATTTATTCATCTGATAAAACTAAGATTATTTATTGTTGTGCAAACTGTAGTGAAAGTTATACTGTTTTATCATCAACAATAACCATAACAAGTGGTGCATTCACGAAATCCAGTTTGAAAAATATTTATCTCCCAGATGGTATTACATCTATTCAAAATTATGCATTTACTGATTCGGCATTAACAAGAATTACTCTTCCTAAAAAACTTGTCAATATTTCAAAAAATACATTTCAAAGATCAGGATTAACATCCATAATCATTCCAGATTCAGTTGAATTAATTGATGATAATGCATTTGATGGATGTAGAAAACTCAAAACAATTGTTTTACCATCATCTCTGAAATCAATTGGAGGAGGTGCCTTACCTAATTATAATGATGTCAACATCACATTTGCTAATAATACAAATCTTTTCTTAGATAAACAATACATATTATATTCAGATAAAAATACAACAATCTCACAATTCTTAGGTTCATTAAGCGAGCTAACAATTCCAAATATTGTCACGATCATCAAAACAGGATCATTCAAATGGAATACATATATTAGCTCAATTTCATTTTCAGGTGAATCCAATCTTCAATACATTGAGTACGATGCATTCAAAGGTTGCACAAATCTAAGGAAATTTGATTTTGGTAGTAAAATTGTTGAAATTCAATATAATGCTTTTGAAAACACTATTTTGGATAGTGAGATTTCATTTCCGGATACATTAAAATTAATTGGTGATTCAGCATTCAAGAATTGTAAATTCATTCCTTCGATTATATTTGAATCATTATCTTCATTCTATAACAAACAAAGTTATGAATTATACAAACAATTATATTCGAATTATCCATTGACTATCAGAAACGATGCTTTTTCTTCATGTTCATCCATATGTGAGATTGTTATTTATCGTGAAACAAGTATTTCACTTGGCCAAAACACATTCATTGGTTTGATATCATTGACTCGCTTTACATTTTGTGACATTTTGTGAATTATCATTGGCAGTGGATGTTTCATGAGTGGCGGTCTTCGTCATATCGAATTCCGTGGTAACACTATCTGCAACAAGATTCTCCCGGCATTCATCTTCAGTTGTACTAATCTTACAGATATTGTCATCCCTACTAATTGCGAAACTATTGACTCATCATCACTGAGCAGCACTAGTATCAGTCATCTTTTACTTTCCGACAGTGTTTATACCCTTGGTGACCAGTGCCTGAAAGACTGCCGTGAACTTGTTTCTCTTGATATCAGCAACAATAAATCACTTAAAGACTGCATTAATCTTTGTCACATCACTATCCCATCTAGCATTGTCTTTATTGGTGACAATGCATTCCGAAACTGTCCCCTTCTTATTTTAGGTGCTCTTATCCAGAACAAATCTAACAAAACACTTGTTTCTCTCCTTTCATCGAGTGTTCTTTAAATAGGTAGAACATCATTCTGCAATAAATTATCATGCAAAGTTCATCAAATTTCAATTATCATCATTCCTATTTCTAATATTGCTGTTTTTATATTAATGTAAATAATTTATTGTTCAAATAATTCACCTTCATAAAAAAAGTTTTGAAAGGTAATCTGAGAAATGATTCCTGGTTTCAGATTTATTATAAAATGTTTACTAACAATAATACTGTTAGAATATTAATAGAGAAATGGTTCATTAATATTTTCTTCCCATCAAATTAATTGAAAGGAACAATAAGGTTGTATTTGTCAAATTATTTTTTATGCATATGAAATTATGCAAATTAAAGTATGATATCATATGAACTATTAACAAAACAAGGTGTAAATGCAAGTAAGAATGTTACGGTTATTGGAAATCAATATATTTTCAATTATCCTTGTGAAAATACATCAGATTGCACTGATTACATTGTTCAATTATCACATGGTACATATAAATTCGAATTATATGGTGCCAGTGGCGGCAGTGCACGAGATAAAGTTTCTTCATTCCGAAACAAAAATAAAACTTGCATCTTAGATGAAATTGTTGAACAATTTCATGGAAATACAGAATGTTTTCAACAAGATAGTATTGGCGGTGCAGGAGGCTATGTATCAGGTATTATCACAATCCGAACTTCTATAACATCCTTTTTCACTATCGGAGGTAAAGGTGTATTCGGAAAAAAAGGCGATTCATATTCTACTATAGGTTGCTTTAAGAAAGAAAACATGCAACCGGGTGGATATGGTGGAGGAGGTAGTTCAGCCCAATATATTTATGGAACAGGGAGCGGAGGCGGCCAAACCACTGTCAAATTTCTTGAAAACGATCTCTGGCATCGAGTTCTAGTGAGTGGTGCTGGAGGGGGAAGTGATGACTACAATGCAGATGATGGAAGTGATGACTACAATGCAGATGATGGAAGTGGTGGCGCAGGTGGAAATCTTGTTGCACAAGGTTGGTTCTTTAACGGAAATTATGTCGAAAATTATTTGGCAAATTCCACATTCGGGTTTTCATTTGGTCAAGGAGAAGCTGCTCGTTATGGAAGTACTAAACATCCTCATGCTGTACCTACAAGCACTAATACAGATATTGGAGGTGCAGGTGGAGGATGGTTTGGAGGATTTTCTTCTCAGTCTGGATCGGGTGGTGCAGGCGGTGGTTCTTCATTTGCATTGACAAAAGATGCTATTATTCCTCAAGGAAATATTTCTGCTTATGATGAGTTTTATAATTTAATTGATTCTAAACCGTATTCATTTAATTTAAACTCAGAATTCCTCTTCAAAGATGTTATTCATATCCCTGGTATTTGGGAAGGCAACGGACGACTTATTATTACAATTCTTGACTCAAAATTATTTATATCTTGTAATATCATTTCTCCAATCTACTTCAATCCAACATTAATATTTGGATTGATTGAATCATAAAATTTATAAATACACAATATTTAGATATTTTTTAGTCATATAATATGATAACATATAAAAAAGAAGTCATTAGATTTCCTAAAAAGTTATGGTTGCAGGAACATTTAGGAGATCATATAAATCAGTTATACAAGAAAAGTTTCGATCCGTAATGACCTTTTTTAAAAACTGAGTTGAATCAGGTGGATAATTTGAAGAAACATGTATTCGAACAGATTTTGATGAACCAACTTGTGCATTTATTGCAGTTGGACCACAGTAATAGATATCATCGAAATAACTTCCATCAAGGAAATAATAACTAACAGATTTTAAACTAAATGGCAAAACAATAAATTTTGCTGCGATACCTGAAAATGCATACTGTTCTATTGTTTGAATTGTTGATGGTAATATTAATATTTTAAGTTTATTACATGAATAAAAAGTTGCATCATATAATCTATTAACTTGAAATGCACTTATATCAGCATACTCAAGGTTTTGGCATCCTCTAAATATATATGGACCAATTTTTGATATTGTTTGCCTCATTGTAAAACGAGTAAATGATGATGAACTAAATCCTCGTGCAGATGATATTTCTGTTACAGTATCAAGAATGTCTTCATAACAATTTGATGGATATCCAACTAATACAGTAAAATCGCTATTATATAAAACTTTATTTTTTACTACAAAGTTAGGACTATTAGAAAAGAATTCTTCAAGGTAAAGACAGAAGACAAAAGCACCACTATCTATGGTTTCCAATGCCTGAGGTAACGTGATATTTTTCAATCTCGTATAATAAAACATGTGGGTTGGAATTCTTATCAGTGTTTCAGGTAATATAACATGTTCCGCCGTTGAAAAGAAAAAATGATAGCTATCGGTGAAATATTGAAATTTACAAGATGAAAAATTAACAAATTGTATGTTTGAGTATGTAAATGCTTGACCTTTTATTGTTGTTACTGCTTCAGGAATGTATAATTCGTTGATTGTAAAACTATTGAAACAATACTTTCCAATTGTTGTAAGACTTTTTGGTAGTATTAACATAGAAAGAGTACATCCATTGAATGAATTATTTCCAAGGATAGTAACCGGTTTAGAGTCAATTGATGAAGGAATTGTTAATTCTCCTCTGTAACTTTTAGAGATACATGGATTGATCCCATCACCAATTTGGATATTATCTGATCCATATAATACGAAGGTGATGGGTGTCTCTGATTCTTGATAGATGCTTATCTAAACTAGGTTACATTAACATCAAATAAATAAAAGTTTTATTTTATAAATGGTTTGCTAGATAGTTGTATTTATGCTTGTTTAATTTTGCCATAATTATATATTTTCGAAAAATTCGATTTCGAATGATTGATTTCTTATGAATTAGAAGATAAATCTTTATCTGGAGCAGCTATTAATGTTACACATAATGATCGAAAGTATATTTTTGATTATCCTTGCAATTCAACGTCTGTTTGTACAGACTATATTATACACTTGTCTCCAGGGACATACAAATTTGAATTATATGGTGCAAGTGGTGGGTCATCCAGAGGCAAAGTCTCATCCTATCGAGATGAAAACCGAAATTGCATTCCATCGCAAATTGTTTCCCTTCTTGGGGGCAATGCAGAGTGCTTCCAAAGTTATAGTCTTGGTGGCGCTGGCGGCTACCTTTCAGGAAAAATATTCATTCAGCACTCTTTGACATCATTTGCAACAATCGGAGGCAAAGGTTCATTTGGACATAAAACAAATAACCGCGAAACAAAAGATTGCTTTGAGAAAGCAAATATGCAACCAGGTGGATATGGTGGAGGAGGAAGCTCTGCTAACTTTCCATCTGGATCGGGGAGTGGAGGTGGTCAAACCGCTGTCAAATTTCATGAAAACGATCTATGGCATCGTGTTCTTGTGAGCGGTGCTGGTGGTGGTTGTGATGATAGTCAATCAGATGATGGCAGTGGTGGTGCAGGAGGAAATTTAACTGCACAAGGTTGGTTTGCAAATTCTGTCATGAGTAACTCGTATCTTGCAAATTCAACATTTGGATTTTCTTTTGGCCAAGGAGAAGCTGCCAGATTTGGACAACCACCACCAAATAACTCTCTATCCGTTAAGAGTAGCTCAAATACTGATATAGCTGGTGCTGGTGGTGGGTGGTTTGGCGGTTTTTCTGCTCAAAACGGTTATTCAGGTGCTTCAGGAGGATCTTCATTTGCATTGACGAAAGATGCAATTATCCCTCAAGGAAATATTACTGCATCAGATGAATTTTATAATTTAATTGATTCCAAACCATATGCATTTGATTTGCATAGTGAATATCTTTTCACAGAAGTTGAACATATGCCTGGAATCTGGACAGGGAACGGACGACTTATTATTACAATTCTTGATACAAAATTCTTTGTGTCATGTAAAATCATGTCTCAAATACATTTCAATTTTGCTGTAATTTTAGAATATATAATAACATAATTATATCTAAATTAATATTTTAGCATTTTAACAATGATTTAAGGGTGCACCCGTATGTACGTTTATTTGAGAGGAGGAGGATTACCCTCTCAATTTTGAGGGATTCGTTAGTTTATTTTCTCGATGAATATGCAATAAAATTTGATTTTTACCTTATCAATATACTTCATATAATATACACATGTTCATGTAAAAACTTTTTCCCAAAATCCTCAGTAGGGTTGTTAAAAATATCAAAAATTAGCGTTTTGAAGACACCATGGTGTCTTATAATTTTCCCTTCCTTATTGGCGTGTAGAAATAAATGCGCCAATAGATTGAAGAAGAAGAATTGTTTTTCTCTTAATGAACTTTAATCCTTTTGATATAAGAATATTAAAAACATTAATATAATTTCGATTTCGGAAATTAAATTTCCAAATTTTTTGTCGATTTCGGAAATAACAGGATCCCGCATCCAACACGAAAAAAAAAAAAAAAAGGTAGTGGGGCCTCCAGGCACTTCGTGCCCTCTAGCCCTGAAGATGTTTAGTATAACTTTGTCCGGACAAGTAAGGGTCTATCGTCGCTACAGGAAAAGTTACAGGCGTTCCAAGGAAGTATACTTTGAGAAGCCTTTTCTCCATTTTAAAACAAGATAGGACGGTTATTTTACAAAACTGACAACACTTTGACCGAGTAGTTTTTTGTGCTGAACAAAAAGTGTCATATAAACATCTGTCAAAAACGCGCTTTTTAACTTCACTTAAAATGCCACGTAAGCTACGTAAGAATATACGTAAGAGGAAGAGAGCATTGAAACATCCAATAGTAAAACTGACACCACAACAACAGTTGCAACAACAAATGATGAATGACCCCACTATGTTGCAACAAATGTCAAGCAACCCTATGCTTTTAAACCGAGTTATTGGTGCACAGAGTGGAGGTTTAAGAGCGGCACTTTTAGCGAAAATGGCAGGCTATGGTGGAGCTGCAGACGGAACAGCTTATAACCCTCAAAGTCAAATGAATTTGAGTTCACTCAAAAATCAAATAACAGATGTCAAAAAGTCAAACATAGACATACAGAAACAAATAAGTGAAAACGAAAAGAAACTAGAATATGACAGACACACAAAGAAACTAAATGAGTTAAACGTAGAGAAAAAGAAGAAAGAAAACAACTGAAAGAACTAAGTACAGAGGAATATGCGAAAAAAGTGTCAGAAAAAGCAGCAGAAGTAGCAAAAATGGAACAAGATGTTATAAATTTGAAAAACCATACTACTCAATATAAAGTACTGAAAGATGAAGAAATAAAACAAAAAGCCCTGAAGACATATATGGATAGCGATGAGTATAAAAAAGAAGTTGAAGCAAATGTAAAGGCAGAAAAACTTTTACAGTTGCAAAACCAAACCGTACAGTATGAAAACTTAGCACAAGAAAGTAAAAATAACGACGCAGCCATGCAAAAGGCAATGAAAAGCGCAGAATATATAAAAGCTAATAATGACTGGTTAGATGCCCAAGCCAACGCCAAAGCAGCCCAACTTATAGGGTCAATAAGGACAAAAATACAAGCGGATGAAGACAGTTCAAATGAAGCTTTAATGAATGCTGACTTTAAGAACGCCTTCGAAGCTCTTCATAGTAAGGTGAAACTAGTGAACGACTTCTCATCTGGAAAGAAACTGAAGTCTGAAGGTTTCGACAAAGAGTTAAGAGAAGTAGCACAAAATATGACGAAAATAACAGATGCAGCAACGAGACAGGCAGTTCAAAGTGCCTATGACGCCGTTAGAGCAACTGTTGTGGAAAGTCAAGAAAAAGAGTTACAACAGACCAAAACAGACCTAGTAAATGCTTTCTTAAGAACGAAAAGTCAGGTAGGACATTATGCTGCAGATGGAACATATGTGCCAGCTGGTGGAACTTATATACCACCAAACCCTCCAAGAGAAGCACCTGCACCAGGACTACCTAAAACATTTACATCGTCACATGGACACAGACACAGGCATGCACCAAAACCAACACAACAACCAACAGTTCAAAACACTGCACCACAACCAACAGTTCAAAACACTGCACCACAACCAACAGTTCAAAACACTGCACAGCAACCAACAGTTCAAAACCCTGCACAACAACAACCACAAACAGAGCAAGGACATAAAAGAAGTAGAGAACAAGGAAACCAAGAATTCTTAAAAATGCTTAAGGAAAATTATGGTTACCCAGATACTCTTGACTTTAGTGACAGATATAAAGAAGCTATTAGAAAGTTCAAGGAAGGAAATACTGACCCGAACCTATTTAGCTTTATGGTTCAGCACCAAATGGGATATAATTTCAAACCTGGAAAATACAAGCTCGCTAAGGGATATGATTTAATAGCATATCATCCAAATGACATGAATGAATTTACTCCGAGATATTTGGTGTCAGAGATAAATGATAATTCAACTATCTTCATGAAACGCGTAAAAATAGAGACGGAACGAAAGAAGAAAGGGTTATGAATGCGGATGACTTAAATAGGGAACTTGTTAAAAACGGTCTCGGAATATATGAAATGCCAGCAGATGAGGTACAAGAAACTCCACAGGAAGAAGTTCAGATACAACCAGACATGGAAGAAATAGTTCAGCAACAACAGCTAGAAGAGCCTGAAGGAAACGAACAAGTCCCTCCTTTGGAAACTAACTTCACAGAACTAGATGAAGATTTGGAACAGCCGAAAAATCTTGACCCTCAACAAGAGTATGAGGTGAATATGGAATCTTTCCAAGAGTCTAAGAAAAATTCGGCTGACATAGTAGAAGAATATCGAAAAATGTTCACCGACATACAAAAGACTCCAACATCAGATGAAAATATTCAGCATAGAATGGAAGAACTGAAAGAAAGTGTACGCAAATACAACAATCCTTTTTACTTACGACCATATAACGTTCAATCTTTGGCTGAACTCGGTGAAAATAAAAGGTTAAATTTCAACAAAACATATAGAAATGAAACATTGTTTAAAGTTCATTCAGAACCTAACCAATATGGAAACAAACCTACTTTTGTTTCTGCAGACTATGGAACTACAATGAGATGGGGTCATAAAGCTAATCCGGATAGGTGGTTCATAAACTTACAACCACAATTCCAAGAAGTTGTAGACGCAATGGAAGTGAATGGTGAACCAGATATAGCTGGTATTTTCAGCGCGGCTTTAATGCCATTGAAAGATATGAAACATGCAGATATTTGGACCAGTATGAAATGAACATGGCTGATGGAAATATAACACCTGACGTTCTAGAACATTTATCTCAAAGAACTACACAGAACCATAGAGATGGTATATTTGGTGAAGAGTTTAGAAAGAAAGTTAGGGAGAGAGAAGGAAGAGAACCTATTGTACATGACCTTGCAAACGAAAGTTTGCAAAATGTCATAAAACTTACTTTGCAGACAATGAACCGAGAAGGGATGAATATTTTTAAGAAAACTCAAATGGACAGTACCAAATGAAATGTTAGTATTGAAAAACACGTTCCTTGACAAAATAAAACCAACTACAGAAATAAATGACGCAAGACTGAAACATTGGGTAAAAGCTTTCCCATTCACAAAAGATATTATTGGTAACATGGAAAGAAAACCAGAATGGCTACAAAAACATATATTTGGAAACGAGCTTATTCCATATGGACAAGCTCTGTTTGAAGAGCTTGAACCGGAAACTCAGGAAAGAGTCATGCAAACAATACGCGAAGACTCAAATACAAACTATGACAAAATCTTTCTAGGATATAGGTTACCTGAGATGGGCGACCAGAGCCCAAAGGCAAAAAGGACATGGGAAATTTACAACATACTAGGTGAACATGAGGCAAAGATGCAACAACTTGAAGCAGAGGGCAAGTTACCAAAAGCGACACCAAAGAAGAAGAGTAGAACAAAGTGAAAATAGTGAAGAAGTAACTTCATCTAGTGAAAGTAGTGGCAATGAAGGAAAAAGAAGAGTTAAAAACTCAGTCAGGAAGAAAGTAAAGCTTGGTCCGAGTGGGTTCTATTATGACATATAAATCCAACTATTCTATATTTTTACCCATATGAAATGTACGCCGCTCAGAATATAACGCCAACAGTTTTGGATGCCATGAACGGAAATGTTTCCGAATGGTATAACGAATGCGACAATGCCATTAGAAGGTCAGAAATAGTTCCTGGAACTTACGAATATACAACTGCTGTTTCTTATGGAAACGTAGGTGAGTTTGGAGAAGGTTCTTCAACAACAGTAGATATTGCTTGCGACAGGTTTCATATTATTTCTATTGACAACTCATTCTTATACGTGGAACAAGACATTGAAATAAAACCTTCTGCCAAGTTGTCTGACAAGAAAGGTTGCAATGGAATTTTCTATGTCGGATACCAATATGCTCCAGAAGTTTTCATGGGATATAAGATATATTCTAACTCTGACTTAGTTCAAACAGTAACATGGGCAAACTATGAATGGTTCGCTTTGAGAAACTCAGTACAACCACAAGCTAGAGAACAAACAGACCAGTATGCAAATATTGAGAAAATAAGAAGACTTGACCCTAACGTTCCAGGAGTTTATGTTAACCTTTCTGGTTCAGATGGAACTGCTGCCACTAAAGTAAAACTGAAACTTAGAGTTCCTTTGTCATCTTTCCTCATCTTCAGGTTTTTAAGATACTTGCCAAACTGGGCAGGAAAAATTTCTATTGAACTTACTCCAAGCAAAAATAACTTAGTCATTGCACCAACACAAGACCCATTCACTCTTACAGACGTAATGGGAACAAATAAAACGTCATTCGCCGACTTTTGCAAAGACAAAGTTGACTTAGACTTTGGTTTCTCAAACTTCAACAATGAAGTAAACTATTATTTCAATGCTACTGGAACTGCTTGGGACCCAGTTAAGTTCACATGCGAAAAATTTGAATGCAAGAGAATAGAAAGCAGACTTGCAGTCTATATGTTGGACCCAGATATTTCAAATGCTTAGCTGCCAAAATATATTGCAGTTCCACTTATGTTCCCTATACACCAAATATCTGTCAAAGACTTTGCAGGTGAAGTTGGAAACCAAAGTGCTGACCCAGGTGCAAGAACAGATATTGCTTTAACAACTGCAATGAAACATGCAGATACTATGTTTGTACTGTTCAGACGAACTATAAATGACTATTCTTGTTTCTACAACCCCGGTATTAAATATCATATAAACATAGATGGCAAATATTATCCAAGAGAAGAATATTCTACAGTTGAGGATATGAGGTCATACAACTTGACATTAGATGCTATGAACTTTAACAACAACTTCAACAACAACCATTAACCCTGAAATGCAAAGTTCTATTATGCCATATGTGAAAGTATGGACTCATACAGGAGGTCAAAAAACTCAATATACAAATGGAGACCGTTCAAACTTTTGGCTTGGCATTCCATTTGCTGACTCAGAAGACTTTATGGGTGGTATTTCAACTGTTGGTACTGTACAAATACAATATACTGGTGACAGCGACTCCATATGAATTGAGAGCAAAGAAGTTTACAAAACCAATAGCACTTTTCACGGAAATGCTCTTTTGAAGATTCGTTCGATGAAACCTGCTGGGGCTCCTCAGATTGGCATAACGACAGCTTCCATCGAGCAGATTTTGGCAGCAGGTCAGTAAGTTGTTCTTGAACTGACTTCTCTCCGTCAAATATTGACAGTACGCCAGTTTTGACATAATATTGTAAGATAAACTTACCTTTAGAAATATCTGTAAGTTTTGAAGTTATATTTTTGTCTGCTTCAAGAACTTTCACCATTTCAGTTATACCAACTTTCTTTGCTTTATGAAAATATTTAGGTTCAGCAAAGACTGCTATTCTATAACATTTTCCATTGTTTGTGTAAAGAACTATTCTGTCAATGTATTTGTATTGTTTGTGTGTGTAAACTTTGTTTTGCTTCAATTCAAAGAGATATCCGAATACGTCCATCTTTTTATTCTAAGTAAAATGTCATTTCCGAAAAATAGAAGCGTGAGTGTTTCAAAAGGTTTAATGGCGGTGGCAGATGTGAAGTTAAATTCACCAACTCAAACAAACAGTCAAAGTGTTGTTGTCAATGTCAAAGACAGAGATGTTGAAGTGGGGAAACCATACGAAGACGAAGATGGTATAACAATTGTTCCTGTAAAAGAACAACCAACATATCCTGAAGTTAGCAGAGACTTAAGTTCTGTTGCAGATATTCGAAACGACTACCAACAACTGAAAGACAAACTTCAAACTCAGGAGAAGATTTGTCAAGCTTTAAGTATAATGTTAAACTTGGTCGAACACAACCCTGTAAAAGTGAACTCATATGTCATTGCACCTCATGAAGTTTTGAAAGAACTATTGAAACTTTTGACAGAGGCAGACGATATAAACATCAAAGAAATAGAACCCGACATTAGTTGCTGTGGTGTTTCATATAATGTCATTGACAAGATATACGTTATGAAAGGAGGTGAAACGTTGAACTTAAAGTATAGTTTCCCAGACGTCATAAAAATATTTGACGACCACAACATTTCATTAAAATTTATTTGCTAAGTAAAAATGTCAAAACTTCTTGAAAGATGTTTGAAGAAAAATAATATAGACTTTATTTCATGTAAAGGACTTTACACACTTTTGAACGATATGAAAGACCCTGTTTTGTTTGTTCGTGTAGACAAAGGAAAGTTCTATGTCTTTACAAAATATTTGAACTTCTTAGACAGAGAACTTCAAGAAACGCCATGTGAAAGTTTAGATGAAGTTCTTCTCCACTTTCAGAAAAACTTTTAAATATATATAAATGGCAGAAGATATAATGGTTTATACTATTACGACTAAAAACCCTGAGTCATATAATTCTATAACAACAAACTTACAAAGTCCTCAAGGACGATATTGTAAACTAACCTTAAACACAATGACGACTAAAGCCTGTTTTGCTCTTTTGACACCAGAAGACTTTATTGTTGTGAATGGTAAAAAATACTCCTTTGAAGATACTTACTCAGATATACCACCAACAGGTTTTGTTGACTTATTTAATACTTTAAGTACGGGTGTAACATGTGCTGCAACTAGAGCAGGTTTCATTATGTTTGGATGTCCGACTGAGTTTACTATAAACGATATGAGCTATAATACAAAACTTATTTCTGGTTTTTACTACCAACAGTTTCCTATAACAGGAAAAGGTGTCATACAAGGAATGTCTATTCCATTGACATTAAGCACACCAATCTTATATATTGTTTCAAACTTAGGTTCAAAGTGTTATTCGAATGTCGACAGAAACTATTATGACCAAAAGATACTTATGCGTATAAACAATACTTTCTCTGCTGGTTTGCCTATTGTTCATTCGAATGCAGAATTTTCAACCTTAGTGAACTCAAACACTTTGGCAAGTATAACGTTGACATTAGTTGACGCAAACTTTGTTCCTGTAAAACTTTTATGTCCTATGTATTTGTCAATGACGGCAGAAAGTTTCGAATTGGAAGATGCAACTGGTGAAAGTATTGTATTACAAGAACAACTTCAACAACAAATAGCTCAAGAACAACAAATGCAACAACAAAGTCAAGAATAAAAAAAATATTTTTTTTATTTTTATAAAAATGTACAGAATAGATGTTTCAGATTTTTATGACTTCCAAGCATTCAGAAATATGTGTCCATTTCGAGACTATAACAAAGCAGTCGAGAATTTGAAACGTTTAGTCATTTATGTCGACTCTGCCCCAGAATGTTATGTTATGAAAGAATGGGATGTTGTCTTTAACAAACCAAGAGCAACAATAGTGTTCAACAAGAATGTAGACAGAAACTTAAGAAAATAAAAGTTGGACAAGTTGGATGAAGATGTTAGATGCTTGGGATATCTTATTGTCAAAGTTAGAAGATTTTTCAGTTCGAGGTATAAAGTTTTATACACCTTCTCCAAACTTCTATTCTATCTTCACTGGATATAAATATGAACAAGTAGAATGGAAAGAAAATATTATAGAAGCTTGGTTAGACCATGTCAAAGAAATTATATGCAATGGAAACGAAAAGGTTTATGAGTATATCTTATGTTGGTTTGCAAATATCTTACAACATCCAAGTGCTAAAAATGAAACTGCTCTCATTATAATTGGAAAACAAGGAACTGGTAAGAACACATTCTTTACAGATATCTTATGCAAACTATTAGAGGGCTATTCGAACCCTAATATGACAAACTTAGAAAACATCTGCGGTAAATTTAACTCCTCAATAGAGAATATGAAACTTATAGTTTGCAATGAACTTCAAAGTATAGATACAACAAAAGTTTTGAACTCAGATGCTTTGAAGAGTCTTATAACAGACAAAGTTGGAGTTGTTGAAAGAAAATATAAAGACCAAAGAGTTTGTGAAAATGTTGCAAACTTCATTATGGTTTCAAACAATACTGTTCCGATGAAGTTAGAAAGTTCTGACAGAAGATATGTAGTTGTCAGAACGTCAGATTCTCATATGCAAGATACAGAATATTTTGACGACTTAGCAGAAACTTTGACATCTGACTTTTACAACCACTTGTTCTCATATTTTATGACATTAGATATTTCAAAGTTCAATCCAAGACAAATTCCACATACCGAAGAGAGACAAACATTGTTAGAAGCAAACAAGAGTGTATATGAACTGTTCATAGATGAAACTGACTTTGTGTCATTAGATGAAAGGTCATTGTACGATTCGTATAAACAATATTGTCAAGAATATGGTTATATGACAGCGTCTAAACGAACATTCTTGGCAAATGTCAAAAGTCTTTTAGATGTTCAGAATGGTGTATATACAAAGAAAATTTTTTCTGAGTAAATTTTAAAAAAATTTTTTTTATCCGATAGAAAAGATGACGAAATTCATCTCAGTAAACAAGTACATGTCAGGACTTAAAGAAGAACTAGACCCATTCACATATTTGAATGTTTACTTCTACCATTTTGAAAAGTCTTCATTCAGCAAAGTTTGGAACATCGAACCAGTTAAGTTTGCTATTGTGACTAAAAATGGTGCGAAATTTGAAGACTTAGACATAGAAGGTTTGTTAGCAGTCAAAGAAAGTTTTGACAGAAGGTTCTCAAACCTTAAAGAAGGCAAAGCATACAAACTTGTTATACCTTATGAACCAAAGAAAGCAGACGACTATGAATATTATGAGTCTAAAGTTGTAGAAGTTCAAGGTAAATTGGGTAAAAAGATTTTAGAGTCTAAGCCAGTGTTTGCTCCTAAAGAGGAAGAGAACATTGACATTGACCCAGAAATGTTCTAAAAATAAAATTTTATTTTTACATGTCAAATTTCTTTTTCTCTGGAACTGGTTCAGGTTCTTTCTTCTCTTCTTCTACTTTCTTTTCTTTCTTTTCTTTCTTCTTCTTTTCTGGTGGAGTTATGTCAAATTTGGCGCAACCATATTTATGTAAAAGTTCTTTGTCCTTTAATAGCTCTTCTATTCTGTTTTCTATTTCATCTTCAAGAACAGCGCATGTGTCTTCTTTGCATTCTAAGAAGTTTTGTTGGACTTCATCTCTCCAAGAGGCGTCATCTCTGTCAACAAGTCTGTCATTGACAAATTTTAAGACTGCTCTGCTTAATGTTTTATGGTTCTTGTCATATTCCCAGAAACAGAACTTTAGAACAAATTCACCTTTCTTGTTTACACTATGTAAGATTTTATGGTCGACAGATGTTTTGCTGTCGAAAAGCTTGTCTCGAATATAGATAGCGAAATCGCTAGACATTTTCTAAAAGATAAAAATTTTAATTTTTCTAAAAATATGTTAGAAAAAAAGTTTGCTGACATTGACAAGAAATTTGAGAATGTTTTAAACAAGAACAAGAGGAAGTTAGAAAATGCTCAGATAAAGCCTATACATGACAAGTTCTTATTTGCTCAGAATGGTATAACAGGTCTAATTGCACCACCTGGGTCGGGTAAGACTTTCACTTATCTTAAAATGGCTGCACAACAACAAGAACTAGATGAGAAGAACCCATTCTATGAGTTAGTTGTCATTTGTAGTACTTCTGGTCAATTTGACCAAACCGTCAATTCGTTCAAAGATATTATAAAGAAGTCTAAGTTAGTATGTATAAAAGACTCTGAGTTGTTGGATTGGATAAAGAAGTACCAAAGAAGGGTTTTGAAGTACAATGCTATAAATGAGTATATAAATTCGAAGTTTAAAGACCCAAATGAGGAAATGCAGAGAATATTAGAGAAGAAACACTTCAGAAACAAACAGAAAGAGATAGAATACATTTCGAAGAAATTGCAATCTTACGATTGGAAGACATACCCTCATAGATGTCTTCTTATCTTAGATGATTTCGCCTCTCATCCTTTGTTAAAGAACAGAGAACAAGATATGTGTCGAATTCTTAAGAAGCTCAGACACTTTAACATCTCAGTTGTCATTTGTGTACAGACAGCAAAGAGTTTAAGTAAGGATGTTAAAAGAATACTTACTGACATTGTACTTTTCCCCGGATTGTCCGAAGACGATTTCATGGAACTTATGAAAGAGTCCATGGCAGGTAAGTTTGACAGATATGAACTATGGGAGAAGTACAAAGTCATACAAGACCCTCATACTTCTTTCAGAATTCATATCTACGCAAACAAAGTTCAAATTGTAAAAAGTCAAGCTTGAAAAATGTAAGTGTTTAGTCTTAGTAAGTCTGTTGTGGTTCTGCAGCTTTCGGTTCTTCTGGTTTGGGAATGGACTCGGTTGGTGGAACGTGGGACATTCGTTTTGTGTCCTGTCGGAAGGAAAAACTTTTCCTGTTGGAAGGAAAAACTTTTCCTGTTGGAAGGAAAAACTTTTCCTGTTGGAAGGAAAAACTTTTCCTGTTGGAAGGAAAAACTTTTCCAGTTGGAAGGAAAAACTTTTCCTGTTGGAAGGAAAAACTTTTCCAGTTGTCGGGAAAATTTTTTCCAGTTGTCGGGAAAATTTTTTCCAGTTGTCGGGAAAAATTTTTCCTGTTGGAAGGAAAAACTTTTTCTGAAGTTCGACCAAAAAGTTCTCAATTTTCGAAAATTTGAATGGTTTACGGACGGACAACTGGAAAAATTTTTCCTGTCGGAAGGAAAATTTTTTCCTGTCGGAAGGAAAATTTTTTCCTGTCGGAAGGATTTTTTTTTCCTGTCGGAAGGAATTTTTTTCCTGTCGGAAGGAATTTTTTTTCCTGTCGGAAGGAAAATTTTTTCCTGTCGGAAGGAAGGACTCGGAATGCCAGAAGGATTTGACAAGGCAATTTACCTTATAGAGCTACCTGAGCCATCTGAAGTCAAGCTTGAAAAATAAATGGTTCATCTACTCTACTTGTTTGAAGTTGTCAAAATACTCTGTTATTTTTTCCTTTAACAATGGCAAATCTTCTTTGAAGGTAAGTATTGTACAACCTTTCATATCATAGTGTGTTTGAGGTAACGTATCTTGAACTATTTGTTTCACATCTTCATTTGGGGTCATTGAAATCGGTAAGTTTTCGCGATAGAACCAATTTCTGTCAGATTTGTAAATCTTAGCAAGGTCGTAAAAGCTTTTGTTGTTTCTTCTGACTAAATGCAACATAACCATATCTTTATCTTCTTCATTTTCCATCTCTTCAGTATAAATCATATACTTATAGTTCTTTTCCTTTCCTTTTGGTACCGAACGTGGTATTCTTTTCTGAATGCTTTTGTCTTTTGCTTCAATGACTTCATCTTTTGCTTGAAGTTTCTTTTCCATCTCTTCACGTTCTTGTCTATGAATTTCGTCAAGAAGTCTGTAAACATGCCATGCATAACGAGGAGAAGCCCACATTGCAACTGCATTTACAAGAAGTCTATGTACATAATATCCTCTTAAATTTATTGGCAAATTTTTACGATTTTCATGTGTTTTATGCAAGACCGAAAAAAGTCGGTCTAGAGAAATTTCACTCAAAAGTTCTTGTGTGCTTTGGTTTTTGAACCAGTCGTCTGCGTGTTTAGTGTCTGGAGCAAAACATGCTGTCAAAATACTTTGCATTTGGTACATATCGTCTTTGACCGAACGAATGAGACGTAACTGTTTGTTAAACTGAACCCACTCATATTCTTCATTTATGGCTTCATGAACGATAGCAGTTGTTGTGTTCTCTGATGTTGACATATCTGTCCTTACATACAAAATAAAAAAATAAATAAAAATAAAACTAACTTTATTTTTTCTATCTTAAGGAAATTCACTGTTTTCATAGAGTTTTATGCAAGACCGAAAAAAGTCGGTCTAGAGAAATTTCACTGTTTTCATAGAGTTTTGGCGACTACGTTTTCTTACGTACTCGCTGTTCTTCACTATTTTCATACGGAATCTCTACCCTAGGTTTTTCCGAGGGAAGCAATCTTATGCCATTTTACTCAGAATTTTGTGCTGAATTCAGCAAAAATATATTTTAGGTGAAGAGGTGCGATCTCACCTGTTTTTTCACCTGTTTTTTCACCTGTTTTTTTCACAAGCGTTTTACATGGTAAACGTTATTTTTACATTATGACACGAAGTGAAGGTTGACACTTCGTCAAAAAAATCCCTGAAATCATATCTTACATACAAAAAAATACAAAAAATGACACTTTTTCATTAGATAACTGTTATTTTTTGACGAAGTGAAGGTTGACACTTCGTCAAAAAAATCCCTGAAATCATATCTTTACATACAAAATAAAAAATTTGTTAGAAAAAAATTAGCGTTATTTTCTGACTTTCACAAAAGACAAAAATAAACGCTATTTTTACATGTATTTTTCAGCAACTTCGTCAAATAATTTTATAGCTTTATCTATCTCATCTACTTCAAACGTTTCTTTACCTTTTATGGGAGCACCATATATTTTCTCAAACTTTTCAAGTAGTTCTGTTTCTGCAGCTCTCATATCATTAGCAAACACAACCTTGACTATATTGACTGTACTGTCATATCTTTGAGTTATATTATATGTTCTTCCTATCTTATATCTTTTTGTATTGAAGTCCTTCGGTTTCTGAACGATGTAAAGTAAGCCTTCACTGCAACGTTCCGTATCGAATGAACCATATGTTATGAAGTTATATCCAACAACTAGGTCTAACCATAACAAAACTATTGGTATAAGACTTTTGTCTATAAGATATGCTCTTGTTCCATGAAATGCTACTGATATCATAAGCTCAGGATTTCTTGTCAAAAATTTCTGAGTTGAAGCATTTCTAACCCAGTCCTTCGGTCTCTTTCCAAATGGAAATATAATGTCTGACAAAGAATATTTGTTGTATTTCTTTGAGTATCTTACGTTTAAATCACCTATTCTAACCAATTTGGTGTCATTGTCTATCTTTCTAACTGTTTCAAACTCAATGTTTGACATATATGTCTTTACATACAAAATAAAAAAATAAATAAAAATAAAACTAACTTTATTTTTTCTGTCTTAAGGAAACTCATGAAATTTGGTCATTTTTCAGCAAAAATAAAGTTTAGGTGAAGTGGTGCGATCTCACCTGTTTTTTCACCCTTTTTTCACAAGCGTTTTACATGAATTGTACGATGTATATTTGAAATCCTAAACAGTTTTGTAGCCTCTATTTCTTCTTTTAGTACATCGAATGTTTTAACAATGCCGAAAGTTTCTTTATACTTCTTCTTGACGTCAGACAGAAGGAAATCTTCTGCTGTTGGATAGTTTTTGTTCAGAAATTCTAACATGTCCATTTTATTTTCTGCTGGTTTTTCTGCTTCTTTCTTTAAGTCTGCATAGTCGTTTCTCATTCTTTCTATCTCTTTGACGGAGTAGTTATATCTCCTCATTGCCG